AAATCATAAAAAAATGTTAAAAAAGAAAAGAAAAAAAAGAGACAATGGTAAGACACGAGAAGCAAGCTGCTAAACATTATACAGCCTGGTTTCAATTTGGGAGAAATTGTTCATTGAAAGAGAGAGAGAGAAAAAAAAGAGGAATAGTAACTGATGGCTAAAAAGATTACGTCCAGGAAGTGGGATTCAAGACTTTAAATCTCCAAGTTGTATGTTTTTGTATTGACTGTATCTTTATAATGAATGTGTTACTTCGATAATCAGAAAACATATGCACAAATATATATGTTTAACATTTCTACACATGGGAAAAATTGTTCCAGAGCTGGGGTGAGGGGAGAGAGGTGGGTGGTGAAGTTATAGGTGGGTTTTTTTCCTCCCTTATGTTACGTCTATATTTTTCAAGCTTTAACCAATGATCCTGCATTGCTAATTTTATCAAGATAAGTGGTAGATTTCATTTTTCATTCAAAAAAAAGAGACTGATTGAGACAGAACAGACAGAAAAACCCTGGCCTGAATGTTTGCTAGAAAAAGAAAGATGGAATTAGACATGGACAGAGACAAAACCAGGAACTGAGCAACAGAGACAAAAGGGAGGCATACAGAGAGGGACAGAAAGAGAAATGGAATGAAACAGAGACAGACCGTGAAGAGAGAGAAGGAGGCATTGAATTAGATATTTAGGGGGAAGTTAATGGGTTAGACCAAGCTTTGAGGCTGGACTGAGTATATATTCAAATCCTGCCTCTGCCAATTACTTTGTATCCTGGAAAAGTTCCTTCCCTTTACTGTGGCTCAGTTTTCCCACCTATGAATTGGAGGTAGAAAAATTCTGGCAGTGTTATTTTTTGAGCATTAAATGAGACATGTGCATATCAATTACTTAGAACAAGGCCTAGTAACAGTAACACTGTATAAGGGCTGGTTATTATTATACAACAGAGATAAGGAAATCGAGGGTGACAAAAAGAAAGCAAAAGGATACAGACAGGGACAGAAACCATAACTGGTGGCAGAAGAGTTTGGGTAGAATCATTGCTGGCACTGTCCCACGAGGGGGTAAAGTCCTCACACCATGCCTGCAACTCTCCAGGCCGATCAATGGCCAGCAATGACGTTAGGAAACAACCTGCATGGGGAAGCCCGGCTGCTCATCATTCTCAGCCCCGCACTTAAAAGCCACCATGGAGGGTGCAGGTACCACTGTCCCAGGTGGACAACAATCTGGACACCACCTGGGGGACACTGGAAGGCAGGCCCTGCTGCAGCAAGTGGCACTGAAGACATGGCAGGTGAGGAGTGAGGGGAGAGAGGCTGAAGGTAGGAGTAGGTGTCCGGACCCATCCTGTATCTCCCCCCTGAGAGGGCTCAGTGCCCGCCCTCTGAGCGTCAGTCCCTCTGCGAGTCTGACCACAGGCAGGGGCTTGGACTTGGGGGCTTTCTCCTTGGGCTCCCTGACGTCTGTTGCCTCTTGCAGGAGCAGAGATGGGGCCGAGTGGCGCAGCCGCGGTGGCCATGGGGCTGTGGGTCTTGGTGACAGTGGGCGTGGCGGTGGACCCCGGTGTGGAGGCTCCCGGGCGCTGCCTCCTCTCCCAATACCGCTCCCTGGATCCCCGGGCACTGGAGGCAGTCAAGGCCCTGAGGAACCGCTATGTGAGTGATGCCCACACGCCTCTGCCCCCCGGACCCTGGACCACCGGGCCCCCGGGTCCCAGGACGACAAACTTTGTCCCGAGGGGCCCTCTTGTCCTAGCGTCCAGCAGGCGCATCCTGGATCTCGGGGTCCAGAATTCAGGTCACACCTTTCCAGCCGCCCTGGTGGTCAGCTCATACAGGGCCTTAGTGGCTGTCACAGAGGGGCGCCCCCTTCAGGTGGACTCGGCTCCACGTCCCTGCGCAGGATCCGCACCTGGAGCGCAGGTGCATTTCAGGCCTGCCTCGCGCCTTCAGAGAGCTCTCTGGTCAGGACACGATGAGCACAACCTTGTGGGCCGGCCCGATCCACGTGCAGGAGTCCGCGAGGATCCCCAGCATCATCCCGGCCCTTGTCCCGCAGGAGGAAGAGACGCTGAGCTGGAGGCCGCGCAACTGCTCGTTCCACCCGAGGAGGAACCCTCCGCCGCCGTCGGTGAGGCCCGCGGCCGGCAGGGGCTTGGGGACTTGGGCCCCGAGCGCGGCCCCATCTAACTGCCGCTCGGTGCCCGCAGTCCTGCGCCCGACTCCGCCTGGTGGCCCG